TTTTGCTGCAACCTGACAGCAAAGACTATCTGTTGGTAGTGTCAATAAACTATATTCATTGTCAATAACCCATCTAGTAGATCAGGGGTTCTCTAAGAGGGGGTCCACGGCCAGATCTCAAATGACTATTACTCACAGATTAAATACATTTTGGCCAAGGGATCAGTGGAATAAATTTAGAGGGTGTAATATTTTTTGCTTTGTAATTTCAGAAAATTGCTTTAATATATCTACAGTAGTAGTGAAATGATAGTTTCACAATATTTTCCCCCAAATAATGTATTTGGTACACACAAAATTGCATTATAATGGTGCAGCCTCCTTACTGGTCAACCAAAGACTGACAGTATCTTGCTGTCAAATTGACTGGGGCCAGCAAAGGGTAAGCATCAAACTCAGCCCCAGCCAATTTGACAATAAGAGATTTGCTGGCTCCAGTCAATTTAACAAGAGATGGGCCGTCTTTTGTTGACCAATATGAAGGCTGCACCGTCTTTTGTTGACCAATATGAAGGCTGCACCATTAGAATGCTATTGTGTGTGGCCAATAAAAAAAAAATGAAAAAAAATTGTGTAACACTATCATTCCACTATTACTGTAGATATAGTATAAGGTCATTTCCTGGAATTACAATGCAAAATGTTTACATATAGCTCCTTTAATCTACAATTTATGTTCTTAACACTGGGTAACATGGGCCTGGGAGGCTCACAGGGATATTGGTATCCACAGTACTCTCACCATTTATAAAACATTTCAACTCAACACTTCTTGTGTTCCCCTTCAAATGTAAAACTCATTATATGCTATTTTTCTCACTCGAGTTGTGTTCTGATTATGTGGGGGTTCCTGATGAATTTGCTATCACAAAAGGGGTCCCTGGCTCCAAAAAGTTGGAGAACCCCAGTAGATAACGGACTTACTCTCTTCCTTGATGACGCAAGCGTTATTTTATAGCTGGATACGATTGAGGCGGTGACCCTGGCTAGCCAGTTAATGTTAGCTAGCTAACGTTAAATGGCTATGTATCATTAGCCTAACATCTTCTGAAACATCTCAGGCATCACTATTTTCTTTAGCAAGATGCGTTTGCTTACTCAAACCTCAAACAATATCGAACATTTGTTTCATAACAAAATCACTCTGATAATGTGCTAAAGACCAACTAACATGTGGTAAAAACGAACTAAAATAGTTAATAATAACAACGGAAGCAAGTCTGCTAGTTGAGCTAACGCAGAAGGCAACATCCAGGGGGAAAAAAGGTTGTCACTCACAAATATTCGACAGGAATGTTCGTGAAGGTTCTCCTTATTTGCCCGTACTGTTATACTGTAATGCAAATGTGATATCATTTTGATCAGATCAATTTACTTACCTTAAAAAAAAACAGTATTCGTTGTTGCTCTCTCCAAAAGCTAGCTAGTAAAACCAGGAAAAGGAAATGTTCACAACCCGGAAGTAAAACTATTTTTCAAGATAAAAGCCCACACAGCAACTCAACGTAATCAATAAAAACGGACATTTCAAAGCAAACGTACTGAAAATGGATCAGTGTATGATCCAGACAAAATGTCTGAATGTACAGGCAGTTGATATATTGTAGTTTGTAAATATTGATTGAGTGAGTCTCCTGATGTTGACTGACTGACTGGGCATGTAGTGAACTGGAATGGAATGTACTGACGGCACCAATACATGTAAAACATCATACACACTTGTAATCCATACTCATAGGTATGATACATCAGAATTACCTATGATAGGGCTGTATGTACCTGTTGCAACGTTTCTTATATAATATATATTCAATACTGTGAATAAAATGAAACCCTGATGATACCACAAACATGAGTCACGTAGCAAAAAAATGAAACTCTTTTATTTGGACTGTCTATCTGATCAATGCTGTAGTTCAGATTATTCAAACAATGTGTGACAGTAAAAAAATAGAGTGTGTAAGCATGGGATGCAAAACGTTCATTCATAAAACATTAGAAAAATGTTTGGGGAGTCATTATAATTAAATATAAGTTGTACAAGACAGAGATGAAAACAAATGCCTACAACATACTGCTAATTTATTATGCCAGGCAGGGACATTGACCAAATCTGACAGACCACTTGGGAGAAGGTATCTCATGTATGACAGGCTGGCTATGTACCTCATAATTCTGCTTGGCATGTGAAAATAAAGCCAGACTCATGAAGTGCACTTTCTAACCCATTTCACTAAAATGTAAACATGGGGGTAAACATATTCCTTGGCCCGTTGTTAGTGTTAGGCTAGACTCACACTCACATATATTATGGCTCAGATTGGCCATTTCATCCCCCTCTGCATCCTAAACAACTGCCATGTGCAGACTCAATTTAGCCTGGCCTAAAGAACTAAGCCTTTTCTACATGTGGACTGGCTACCTCTGCCATTGTATGTTTTGAGAGAAATTACAACCGGAGCCATATTACATGTCATGCTAGTATCAATGTATTATCAGTTTAATAGCTTAGATTGAGATCATTGGTTGCCTATCTGAATCTGAAATTTGTGAACATTTTTGAAACCATTCGACTCTCTTTGTGAGCATGAATTTAATGTATTCATAAAGTCAGATCTTTCCAAGAGCCAGCTCAGAGGAAAACCATGACTAGGACACTACTCCGGCTCAATAGCCAATCAGAGATAGAGAGGAAGCTGTCGCTGTGCATTTCAGGTGACATCAACAGTCTATCAGCCTGCGGCATCTGACAGTTCAAACACATAAGGCCAGGTAATATCAGTCTTCTCTTGTCACTCAAAAACTTCAGGAGCACAGAGCAGAGGGTACACAACATACCCTCATACAGGTCTCACTCACTAGACAGTATCTAGTCTAGTGAGAATCATGATTACAGCAAGTAGATAAGCAACTGAGGGGGTAAAAGGCATCGGTCATTCTCTACCCAGCTAGCTCATGTGTTAGAAGGCTTATCTACGTGCTTTAGGCCTTACATATTGAAGAGACAGTATATTAATGAGCACTGAAGTGCCAACAGTCTTATTTTCAGACCCCATCACAGAACATGAAATGGGCACTCCCAGAGGGAGGTAAAGAGTGCTATTAGGAGGTATCAACATTGAACTCCAGTCCCATCATCTCTGCTCTCTGGAGGATTTGTAGACATTGAGCACTACTGTGACTGTGCAACACTGCCCTCTCTCAATATCTACAACAATTGTTCAATTAGTGTGGGGGAAAACATGCAATTCTAGAAAAAAATGATGTTATTAATATGAAGGGAGAGTAGTAAAAAAAAAATAAGTGGAAAAGTCATGCTCGTAAATAACCATGTTTACTAAACAAATAGACCAGCGATGGCTCTGCAGAAATAAAATACGAATGGATATCCCTGCCTCGTGATGCAACCAAAAGGTGATCCAAACATTAAGACGATATACATACATGCACCTCCACTCTGCCACATTCAGAGACAGAGGTTGTATAAGAGTTTCTGATTCAACACTGATACCACAAAATAAATGTTAGGGTTTTACAATTGGAACACATAAAGTGACCCAAACAGGACATATTTCAAGCACCTTAAAAAGTTAGCCAGAATAGATTCCACCCTACGCTTTCTTACAGTTGCACTGGGGTCGGACAGGCTTCCTGTTTAGATTAAGACATAGTGGAGCTGGCGTGAGATGTGCCTCGGAAAACGTACCTCAATCCAGGGATGAGAAATGCGTTGTACTCCAAATTGTCCCATTATCCCAACTGTTACACCGAGAATATTGAACGACTGCTAGTTTGTCCAGGAAAACTGCCCTTTTCGTCCTCATGGTAGGTAGCAGAAGTCACAGCAGCCATTTTGGAATGGCAGTGTCAGCCAATCAGCTCCTTTGTTGTTCAACGCGACATGCCAGTCCATAATGGCTGTTGTGGCTACTGTTAGCTAGCATGAGGACGAAAACGGCAGTTTACTTAAAAACTAGCAGTCGTTGAATCTTGTAGATGTAACAGTTGGGATAATGGGCCAATTCAGAGTACAACGCATTTCTCATCCCTGGATTGAGGTACATTTTCCAAGCCATAGCTCACGTCGTCTCCGCGGTGTCTTAAACTGTAATCTTAAACTGTAAGTAAGCGTAGGGTCGAATCTATTCTGGCTACTTAAAAAGTATGATTCATCAAATCTCTACACTGGCCATGTTGAGGAGAGGGCAGGGTGAGGAGGTGGGTACTGGTTCATTCTGAGTGGCAGAGATGGCGCTTCCTTTGCATTTTTCAGAGCCAATCATAATGGGACATCAGGGTAGAAGTGGAATTCATAAAGCTTCCTCACCCAGCATAACATAGTGAGGTAACTACTTAAAAACAGATGCACCAACAGCTCCCCTCTTGGAATAGTTTTTTCATTTTCTTTACAAATGCCATTTCTCACTCAGCCCCCACATAGAACAAACCTCATCAGCCCTTATTCAACCCTGTGGGGTTTTCCTCAGCACTTAACTTGCAAATGAGATTCATCATCATTTTTGTAGTAGGGCACAAAATATCAATGCAGACAAGTTCCAGCCGGCACGTTACCTTCAAACCGCCATTGTTTTTGTATATTCAAACCGCCACTCTTTTCACAATTACCATGTCTACTGTCGCATTGGCCACTCCAAACATCATTCTAACATAAGTATTCACACAGAGCCCTTCTCTTTGGCCTAGTAGAGGTGGGGAGGTGTCAGAGCCAGTAATACCCATGTTGGGTACGTGAGGGGAATGAGCCAGGGTGTTGGGTGTCTCTACGTATAGGGCCTAACAAGCTCTGGCTGTAGCAGGGTGGGGTGGTTGTGTAGACAGCTGGAGTTGTGTTTAAGGATCAAAACCGTGCTACAGGCTGTTCGCATGTGTGATTAATTGCTGTTCTAGTGCCCAATTCCACAGAGTGTGTGGGAGGCCAAGTGCCTTACTCCTTGCCGGAATACCCTGGCCGTACAGTACAGTATCTGGGGGTGAGAGGTGTGGCTCTGCGTGTTATTTTTTTTCTGGGAGGAAAAGAGGAGAAACATGTAAGGTAGAACCCCCTTAAGACAGCACCAATCCTCCATTTCCCTCTCAAAGCTCAACAATCTGAGCCTCAATCTGCTCGTTTTAATGTCACAGTCCTGCAGAAGACATTGAGCAGGTTGCACAAGTAACCTCTTCTCCCTCCTGTAATATAATAGTAATCTGTATTCCATTTATAATAAACTTAGTTAAGTATTATAAAGTAGAAAAATATCAGAGAACATATACAGTTAGTTGTCGTTTTGTAGTGACCATTTCGCCTTGTTTTTTAAGCATATATTTTTGTGCTGGGCAAGAGGAACTGAACAGGCCTCAGTTGAAGTGAAGTGTCGGTTTGGTTTCTTCTTTTCACTGCTTTTATTTTCAAATTGTTGATGTTCGATCCATTCCATCTACAGGAAGGAGGATTGGGAAGAAATTAATATTTAACACAAAAATAATATTATTTCCTTTTGATTTCATATTGTAACTTTATTTCACTCTACCTAATCCAACTTAAACTATTCAATAACATCAGAAAATTCCAGTTAACCTAACTGTGGTTTTAAATATCAGTGTCATAACACTTCCAAGAAGTTGGATGTGGGAGTGTAAGGCGTGTGTTTTAACTCACCCCCTAAGGCATGCTCTGTCATACTGAGGCACAGTGACTCCAGCGTGGGGTTGATCTCCAGGTCTGCACCTGGAACATGGCATTCTGGGAGAGACGAGACACAGGTCACTCAGTTATTCCACTTGTGTGTGTACTATATCTGGACCATAAATCACACTTTAAAAACTGACAGATGCATTAGATATGGAGCAGTGTGAATGCGGTTTGTAGGGCGATGTGGGTGGGATGCGTAAGCCGGTGTAAAATTGGGTTTAGAAGGCTATGTGGGCGAGATGCGTAAAGACCATGTATGATTGGGTTTGGAAAGAGATGTCACTGGGATATAAAAGGAAATGTGAATGGAGGTTGTAGTGAGACATGGATGGTATGTGTCAAAATACAGTGTGAATAGAGATTGGAGCAAGGTGTGGCTGGTATGTTTAAGACAGTGTATATCATGTTTAGAAATTGTTTGGGTAATGTTTGGGGGAAGGGGGTGCTAGGATCCTACCTTGCTGCTGGAACAGGAGCATGGTTTGCGGGGAGGTGTGGACAGGGAGTGAGTGGGTCCGTTGCACAGAGCTGCGACTCTGGCTTGGCATGCTGTTGCTGCCCCCAGGGTTGGCAAACCACAGGTTCTACAGGGACAACAGAACACCTCTCATCACAAACATGACACTCATCCTATATGTTCTACACCGTGTTAGTCTTCCCAGCACAATGATTACAAAGAGACTATTCCAGCTATGATAATGAACCAATGCATATGAAAATGTTGCCCTGAGTATTGCATTGATTAAACTGTCTGCACTTTTTGTGGTTGCACTTGTTAATCTGTCAAAACAAATGTTGTCTAAGGACAGTTCATCACTCTGTGGGTATAATAACGTGTAGATCAATAGAATGTCAAATCTAATGTTGGCTAACTAGCTGCAACCCTCAATAGACCCATGGGGCGGCGCACAATTGGCCCAGCGTCGTCCAGGGTAGGGGAGGGAATGGCCGGCATGGATGTAGCTCAGTTGGTAGAGCATGGCGTTTGCAACGCCAGGGTTGTGGGTTCGATTCCCACGGGGAAGTATGAAAAATATAAAAAATAATGTATGCACTCACTAACTAAGTCACTCTGGATAAGAGCGTCTGCTAAATGACTAAAATGTAAATGTAATAACAAAGACTTCTTAGAAAATAATTTCTTGTGAATGAATCTGACGTTTCTATAAGTCAACTTCAGTGGGTGTATTCCATGTCCCCAGACTATCTGACATATGATCCCATCCTATGACTGACCTGTCTGCCCTGGCCTTGCAGTGTGGGGCTGGTGAGGGTGTGGCGTGGGGAGGCAACCCCGATGCCACCTGGACTCAGAAGACCCATGCGCCCGGCAGGGAGGCCACGAGGGGGCATCTGGAATGCCCTCTGCCCCCTACGTGCTAGACCCCCAGCACTCACAGAGCCTGCTGTGGGGAGGGAGTTGGAACCATACGCCCAGCTAGAGGAGGCAGAGAGAACAATTATCAGACAGAGCCCTGCGGGGAATCCAGGTGGAGGAGAGAGAGAGAGAGAGAACCTGGACAAACTGCATACTAAAGTTGCAGAGAGAACATGGCACTAAAACTCAGCTGCCATGACCGGAGAGTGATAGGTCAAAAGGAGAAGAGAGGTTCAGTTGTCTTACCCTTTCTGTCGGTACACAGGCATGTCCAGCATGGCTTTCCTTGGGAACAGGCGGAGCAGCTTGAGAACCTGCTGCTTCCAGGAGACCAGCCTCTTCCTCTGAGTCTCTGTGAAAGCCTGACAGAGAGAGAGAGAGAGACATAAGAGAAGATGGTAGGAGAGACAGACAGAGAGAATGATAGAGGGTGAGAGAGAGGTAAAAGAGTGATAGAGGTAAGAGAGAGTGAGCGGTTGAGAGAGAGAGAGTGATAGAGAGAGGGTGAGCGAGAAAGAGAGAGCGAGGGGAGGTAATTGAGAGAGAGATAAAAGAGAGCGAGCGGTAGAGAGAGACAGAGTGATAGAGAGGGTGAGCGAGGGGAGGTAAACGAGAGAGAGAGGTAAAAGAGAGTGAGCGGTAGAGAGACAGAGAGCGTGATAGAGAGAGGGTGAGCGAGAGAGAGAGAGAGCGAGGGGAGGTAAACGAGGGAGAGGTAAAAGAGAGAGTGAGCGGTAGAGAGAGAGAGTGATATAGAGAGGGTGAGCGAGAGAAGAGCGAGGGGAGGTAAACGAGAGAGAAAGGTAAAAGAGAGAGAGTGAGCGGTAGAGAGAGAGAGACAGAGTGAGAGGGTGAGCGAGAGAGAGAGCGAGCGAGAGAGAGGTAAAAGAGAGGGTGAGCGAGAGAGAGCACACAGCAGAAGAGTAAAAATACATTCCATTACTTTGTTAGTGCAGTGAAAGTTCTCTGTGCAACATACGTTGTTACACATGGTTTGCAGCCTTGTCACATTTTAAACCACCAGCTAGCTGTATATGAAAAATATTACATGTATTTATTTTATAGATGTGGTTTTGCGCGGTCTCACCTCATGTGTCAGACATTTCTCAATGAGCTGCAGGTAACAGCTGATATTCTCCTCGTCCGGCCGTGACACCAGTAGCTGAGTGCACACTGCAACACATGGACAGGAGGTTCACACAATGCTACACAACACCAACACGCCCTCCAAAACTCATTCCAAACAAAACACACCAGCACACATCTCACATCCACAACAAACAAGTGCAACAATTGTCCAAATGCAATATATACAGTGCATTCGGAAAGTATTCAGACCCTTGACTTTTTCCACATTTTGTTACATTATAGCCTTTTTCCAAAATTAATTAAATAGTTTTTTTTCTTATCAATCGACACACAATACCCCATAATGACAAATCAAAAACACATCAAGAAATTAGAGCAAATTTATGAAGAAACTCCCCTGTGAAATATCACATTTACGTAAGTATTCAGACCCTTTCCTCAGTACTTTGTTGAAGCACCTTTGGCAGCGATTACAGCCTCGAGTCTTCTTGGGTATAACGCTACAAGTTCGCCACACCTGTATTTGGGGAGTTTCTCCCATTCTTCTCTACAGATCCTCTCAAGCTCTGTCAGGTTGGATGGGGAGCGTCGCTGCACAGCTATTTTCAGGTCTCTCCAGAGAAGTTAGATCGGGTTCAAGTCCGGGCTCTGGCTGGGCCACTCAAGGACATTCAGAGACTTGTCCCGAAGCAACTCCTGCGTTGTCTTGGCTGTGTGCTTAGGGTTGAGTGTCCTGTTGGAAGGTGAACCTTCGCCCCAGTCCGCGGTCCTGAGTGCTCTGGAGCAGGTTTTCATCAAGGATCTCTCTGTACTTTGCTCCGTTCATCTTTCCCTCGATCCTGTCTAGTCTCCCAGTCTCTGCCGCTGAACATTGCCACAACATGATGCTGCCACCACCATGCTTCACCATAGGGATGGTGCCAGGTTTCCTCCAGACGTGACGTTTGGCATGCAGGCCAATTAGTTAAATCTTGGTTTAATCAGACCAGAGAATCTTGTTTCTCATGGTCAGTCCTTTAGGTGTCTTTTGGCAAACTCCAAGCGGGTTGTCATGTGCCTTTTACTGAGGAGTGGCATCCTTCTGGCCACTCTACCATAACGGCCTGATTGGTGGAGTGCTGCAGAGATGGTTGTCCTTCTGGAAGGTTCTCCCATCTCCACAACGGAACTCTGGAGCTCTGTCAGAGTGACCATTGGGTTCTTGGTCACCTCCCTGACCAAGACCCTTCTCCCCCGATTGCTTAGTTTGGTCGGGCGGCCAGCTCTAGGAAGAGTCTTGGTGGTTCCAAACTTCTTCCATTTAAGAATGATGGAGGCCACTGTGTTCTTGGGGACCTTCAATGCTGCAGACATCTTTTGGTACCCTTCCCCAGATCTGTGCCTTGACACAATCCTGTCTCAGAGCTCTACGGACAATTCCTTCGACCTCATGGCTTGGTTTTTGCTCTGACATGCACTGTGAACTGTGGGACCTTATATAGACAGGTGTGTGCCTTTCCAAATCATGTACAATCAATAGCATTTACCACAGGTGGACTCCAATCAAGTTGTAGAAACATCTCAAGGATGATCAATGGAAACAGGATGCACCTGAGCTCAATTTCGAGTCTCATAGCAAAGGGTCTGAATACTTATGTAAATAAGGTATTTCTGTTTTTTATTTTTTATACATTTGCCAAAATGTATAAAAACCTGTTTTCGCTTTGTCATTACGGGGTATTGTGTGTAGATTAAAGGCTGTAACGTAACAAAATGTGGAAAAAGTCAAGGGGTCTGAATACGTTCCGAATGCACTGTACATGTACACAGCCCTGTAAAAGCCTTGTCCTCTCTTACCTTTACCCATGACACGCGTGAACTGGCCAGCAATGTCGCCGTCTGAGATGGGTGTGACTGAGGACTCTCCGTCGCAGGGAGGGGGGTTGTGGGGCTGGAAGCCCTCCTGGGCCAGGTCCTTGTCCTCCCCAGGGTTGGAGTGTTCTGAGGGGGATCCACTCCCGTCCATGTCCCTGTGGGAAACACTGGGAGGGCTGTAGCTGTAGACCTTGATGGGGGTGATGATAACCTGCTGTAGCTCCTGTAGGGCGTTACGCAGGTTGCCCCCCTCCAATATATCCTGTTGGATCAATCATAGCATTATCTTATTAGCAAAGCTGTCTTGAAGTGTGACAGGAAATTGCATAGAACTTGCTGATCAACTTTTAATTGAAATATTGGTGATTATTATAGTGGATATGTTCATTCACATTTAATTGGATTTCTCCATCTAAGCCACAGGGATCCAAATGGAAACTAACAGTTAAGTTGTTCAGAACAGCATGGCTATTATCAGATAAAAATGCATCTGAAATGCTTTTAAAATAGTGGTGACAGCATGTGATTTACCTTCTCTAAAGACTTGAGAACGCTTGGCCTCTCTCGTAGCTTCTGGACACTCAGGGCTATCTTGTGCCGCGCACCTTTGGTCACATTCTGGAAGAAGACGAAGAGTTAACAAAAGGAGGAATCATTGCTCACAGCAACACGGACATCCAGATATCCAGTTACTAAATAACACTCCTGATCACCATCTGTTTCATTAAAGCTATGAAGCAAAGCCAAGACGGCATCTTTTATCTGTGCGGGGAGGCTGTGTATAACTGTAGGGTGCAGCGATGCTTAATTTCATGGCTCATTGAGGTATCTCTATGCTGGACAAAAAGCGGGCCGTATCTATTCAGCAGTGATGAGGAGGGCAGGGGAAAGAAAGAGAGGACTAACGAGAGAAGCTGACCAACCTGTGACAAACGATGACAAACCTGTGACTCCAGGTGGTGCTCTGTCAGAATCATCATCTCCTCATAAGTCATGTGGGAGAAAAGTGCTGCGTACTTATGAAGACGGAGGCTCTTCAGCCACATGGGCACATCTGAAACAGAAAGTATGCTCATAAGTTGTTATTCTACTCCTGCGGAGTCCTTGTAACTCTAGTCACTGAACAACGAGAAGGATAGAACTCTAACGAACAATAGATACTGCTGTGGAATGCTTGACGCATCTGTGCAGTGCATGTCAAAATAAACACTTCAGATCTATTCGTTGGAGAACGCTGTCCTACTTATTTCTCATGGACATCTGGAGCATGTGGTATTATTTCATGTATCATTAAGGCAAATGTAGGGAGAGGTCAAAGCAGAGACATTTATGTGTTTATCATGGACTCCCTGCAGCTGGTCTGGGTGTGTCAATGACATGTGATGGCTGTGTGGAGATTGGAGTAATAATGGACCTAGTATTGTCATTTGTTTGCTTATGACCCTATGACCTGACACATGGCCACATGCACATAAACTCAAGGGCCAGGGAGGGTGGTAAATGATAAATGCCTTAATGTATGTACGTATATTATTTGTAAAGAAGGGGTCTGCAACCATATAATGAGATTAGGGAAAGGGTCTGCTACCAATATAATGAGATTAGGGAAGAGGCTTCCTGTGGAAAAGCGCCCATGACCTTTTGGAGTACATTATAGGTGACATCTGGACGTTGAAAGCTAAGGTAGAGTGGTACTAAAATAAGTTAATCATTTGCCCTAAGGGGAGGGACTGTATATGCTATGTAACATGATTATGCATTTGTGTGTATAAAAGGGAGCTCTAAGCTAAAGGAAGACAGTTGTGGCTCCATGGACCAAACTCGGCTTTGTTCTTCAATAAAGTCTAAATTCTTAAATTCACAGGCTCTGATGTCTTGAGAGATATCTTTGAGTTGATTATCTAGTCAAATGTTTCTACAACATATTTGGCACCCCAGATGGGACTTGATAGGGATCAGTGACGGTATACATTTGCAGTTGTGAAACGGCTTGGACGGACCATACAAACAAAAGCGGCCGCTTTTAAAAAGGTAAGCCAAGTTCTTACTTAAATAGTATAAAGTTTGTGTGGTCCGATCCGGGGCTCGGCAACATCTAAAGAAATACCAAGTAGGTCTCTCCAAATTTAAGAACCAGAAAGTTAGACACTAGGAGCTTTTGAATTTAAGAATACATGTCGCTGTTGTTTGTCTGAACCGTCTGTTCAATTGATTTGATTCATTTGATTCATTTGATTCATTTGATTCAGTTGATTCAGTTGATTCATCTTGATGATTGCTCTGTCTGGGTCATTTCGAGACAGGTGGTTGTACGGCTTGTTGAGCGATCAGACAATAACATGTTAAGTCCTACAGATACCGCTTTAGACGTGTTGGGGAAGTGAATCGTCTTGAGGACTGCATAGGTAGGCAGAAATCCTGGGTAATACCGCTTCTTTTTCTGTGTTGAGGAAGTGTAACAGAAAAAATAGGGCAGAATTGACAGGTCGCTTAGGAAAAGCGTAGTAGAAGTCCAGGTATGTTGAGGAAGTGTAATACCTAGGGGGCAAGTGACTACTTACGGATACCGCTCTGATTCTTTGTTGGAGGTCTGTACGGGTAAGTAGTGAATCATCCTGTGTTGTGATGATGTCAATATTAGGTAGGGCAGATCAGGTAAAAAAGTTAGGTCATCCGGCGTAGGTGACACCATAAATTGGAGTAACACCGGTCATCCTGAGTAGGTGAAAGGGTTAAATAGCTACAAGGGCTTCAAAATATAGAGAAAGTGTTAAATAAGAGTAGGTCTGCTCATCTTGTATGGTGAATGGGTTGCTTGTGCGGCTGTGAGTCATTCAACTGTCTGATTCATTTGGGCACAAGTGGCTGCTCATCTGTGTGAGTGAGAATATAATATTAAATCCTGCAAGTAGATAGCCTTTCTGTAAGGAAGGGAAATCTATTTGAGGTTGGTTGAAGCTTCTGTCTGATGGAGAAAGGTTTGCCCAATCTCACTTAGGAAAGAGAAGAATAAATGGTGCGTGCATATTCATTGACCAACTGAGTGTAGAAAATTCACGTTACCAGGAGGGGTAGAATAAAACCTGTTGGAGGAACAGGTCACGTTTATTGGTGTGGTCATATGATGTGTATGCATTGTATTTTGATAAATCTGTTAGGGTATGTTTCTGACATTATATTTAGAAACTTTAGAGGTGATGCATATTATGATAAATTGACCTCAGTAAAATAATAACTAGGAGAGGGTTAACATTCCAAATTTGGGCCCTTTGATAGAATAACATATTCCTGTAGGTTATACAAAGTAATTAAGGGCGTTTAAGAACAATATAAATTGGAATATAATGAATTTTATGTGAGTGTGATTTAATACGAGGGATTGCATAAAATTATAGGTGTTGACTTGCTCAAAAACGTAGACGTACGTGGAAATGGGAGAGAGTATATAGGACAGGTGGTAGAATTAAACATTATAATAAACTAAATATTATTTCAGAAGCATATATATAATTCATTTGGTTAGGTCGTTAGATCTGTTTCCAAATCAATGAATGTGGGGTTTGACTTGTTGACTGCTAAGTTGATTACGTTGAGCGTGTGAGATCTGTGTCCTTCAAAGCTATTTTCTGATAAAGTGTGGTATGTTCCAGATACTAAAACTACTGACCATTATCATTGGAATAAAGGAGGATTAACTTGTCATTTCAATAAAGCATAGATTCTGCATCGCTGAACAGAGTCTAGGTTTTCTAAGTATAGTTTAGCTATAGTTGTGGGTTGTTTAGATTGAAGGAACAGTCAGGATAAGATTGGAAGATCGAGTAGCCTGCGTCTTTTCAGACTGAAGGACTCACTTATTCAACGGGAAAGGAGGAGTGTCTATAGTCTAAATCAGAAAGGACAGTTACATTTGAATAGCGGACTGGCAATTTGGATAAGAGATTTGGCCATAATTTGAATTGTTTAGGTAGACAGGAATGAAAGTAAGATATTTTAATATTATGAATATACAGTATTGTTAGTTATTGTTGAGAGGTGAATAGACTATACTAAAGGCATGAATTAGTTTCCGGTAAAAAGAGAGTCATACTTGTTTGACTGTATCGAGCTGAAAGGGTTATTTAAAGAAAGTTTGAATAGTTGGATGGAAAACATCTATTTGACAAAATTTTAATTGTTATTACTTTATTCTATGGTTTGCGTCACCAGTGGTGTATGCGAATATTTGGTGAATTGTAGAATGATAATGTATTTTCATTACGTAAACCAGGGGATGCAAGGAGCTTTGGCTTTTATGCTGAGGGAATAGCATCAATTTATAGTGGGTTCTGGATTTGTTGAATAAACAAACTTATGTTTTAAACAAAAGTAATGCAATAGGCTACAATTATAAAATTATCAGAAAAAGGCACTATGCGCTCATCTGTGGTCCGCTGTAGCTCAGTTGGTAGAGCATGGTGCTTACAACGCCAGGGTTGGGTGTTCGATTCCCAAGGGGGGCTAGTATAAGTATAATAATGTATGAGCACACTAATTGTGAGTCGCTTGGAATAAGAGCATCTGCTAAATGACTAAAATGTTAACGGAGAGGAGACTACGTGGTAATAATTTTTAGTCATTGGATGAGGTTTTGCTAGATTTAATGAGTGACAATGGTGGAATATGTCTATAAATAAATTGGATTGTGATAAATGGATGATTTCAATATATGAGGTAAACTATAGCAAGTGTTTGGTGTTACTTGTAGCTTACTTAGAAAGGATAGTTAATTCATTCTGTAATGGCGGAGTGATGGTTTAATTGTGTGGCTATGATTTTAGTTGATTACAGGAGAAATAGGATATAGTTTGCTACGCATGGAGAAGTGAATGTCTTATATGGTAATAGATCAATTGAACCAAACATGACGTTACTACGGCAATTTAATATGGTTAATGTTGTTAAGTGGGGTGTTTAAACCCTATGATAGAGGTAAATGCAGAATGCTGTTTGAAAGTGTTTTATTTCGTCTGCTAGGAAAAACTGAAGAATTTCAATTTTTTCTGTGGATGTTAAACTTGCTGAAACGTGAGAGCGCTATAAGGGACATTATAGGTTACGTTAGGTGTACGGAGATCGCGTGTTTTGTGGGAGGTCGTGAAATGTTATCGGCAGGAGATTGCTAGCTAGTTAGCGGTGAAAGCTAGTGTGGTTTTCGTTGGGTGACGTCACTTGCTCTATGAACTGGAAGTAGATGCTTTGTGTGGCACTGGTGGAGCGACGGGTAACAGTGCTTCGATGGTCAATGTGTGCAGAGGGTCCCTGGTTCGAATCCAGTAGGGGACAGAAAGCAAATATTTTACATTGATGTTATTGATGTGAATTACTGGTTTCATTGATAACATTATAGGAAATATGTTGTCCTACCAATCCATGTTGAATAGGATAACATAGTAATTGAAATTGCATATTGGTGAATTGGATGTTTTATTGGTTTTTACTATAAATAAAATAATTTGTCATCTGTTGAGGTACCGTTATGAGGGAAAGGGTGATGAGACAGGTTGATTTGATATTGAATGGGATTGTTTAATAGAAGTAATTATTTCTACTTAGGAGAATGAGAATATGATATTAGGTAGTATTGCTTTGTGGAGACGATTAACTAATGAAGAACATGTCTCGATAGTTGAATAAGGAACGATATTTGATAATTGATCATTTTATTACGACATTATATAGTTTGTTTAAACAGCAGTGAGTTATGATGATGTTTTATTACTTCAGATAACGATAAATTGTTTATAGTACATTGAACCTGGGGAGGTAGTTGTTGCTGTTGACTTGATGGATTAAGTAGACATCTTTTTATGGGTTTTGGATTATGAAACAATAAGTTTATATTTTAGAAGGAAAAAAAAAAGAGAACATCAATGCAACAGTTTGCGACGTTTAAAGTACTAAAATGGGGTTATAGGTTTATAGTGGAAGGTGTAGTTAACTTAATAAAATGGGTTATTATATAGTGTCTTCTAAGTGGGAGTTTTCTTTTAAGGATTGATGGGAGTCTCCTATAATATTATGTTAAGGGTAAAGTAGGACACGACGTATCAAACAATTTTAAATCGATGCTGGGGTTAATGATTGTTGATGAGATAGGACTGGGGATATATGTATGATGTTTTGTGTGTAATTACTATCTTTGGATTGTTGATTATATGTTAACGACATGTATACTTTCTCTTCCAGGAACATGGGGATTTCTTTATTGGGAGGTTAGAAAAGTCTGTCGGCTAGGGTGGAGCTAGTTAGTAAAATTAAGTAGTTTTATTTTTAGGTTATCATAGGGAGCTACAAAAATAAATAAGGCCTGGCCATTTTTGTTTGTTTATTGTTTTATTATATGGTGTTCAAATAACCACAAACAAACTACTTAGTATGAAATGTTAGCTGTATAGGATTTTTATTTCTATTTGGGTTTTTTTGACAGGATGGAAGTGAAATATCTTAAAGGGGCATACACATGTAATTTGGGTTTTATTTACTACTGAGGGATAAGTAAATATGTATGATTTATTTTGAAAAGAGCTGTACTAAGGAATTACAACATTTATGAAAACTCTTGATGGTTGTTAGGAGTAGTATACTATTGGATGAAACAATTAATTGAATGATTTCAATGACCTCTGAAGTCTGTCCTGGCTTTATAGTGTGACCTGATCACCCGCACTATGAATTCTAGAGGCATGCTGAATTAGGGGGTTAGATAAAATAAGGATAATTGTGAAGAAGTTTATAAATTTGGAAAAATCCTATATATAAATTAGTCTAAACAGGACAAGGATGTAGTGAGAGAGTTAGTCCTGAATGAGAAGTATTCATTGAATAGTGTTATGGAATACAGTTAAGTAAAGATATGCTCATGGGTTGTCATTTTCAGTTTAGTTATTATTTTTGGTTTAATAGGCAATATTGTTGTTGTTTTGTTTTTTGAACACATGAATCACGATGTGATGTATGTGTCCAAGGGGGGAAGTTGGGATTACAGAGGTTTTAATGTTTTGTTATGGTTTTGTGGGGAAATATGCAAGGTGTATTAAGGATGTGAAAGTAGTAATAATGTGTTATGGGTTAGGTTAAATCATTTTTGTTTTTGTGATAGGAGGCATGGTGTAGAGGTGGACTACAACAAGCTGGAAGCAGGTGTGCTTCATAATCTCAAGGCTTCTCTTGACGGATGAGAGGACATGAGTAGCATACTGTGTCTCACCTAACCCAACAATGTTCTTAAGATTTTATTTTCATGGGTGAAGATAGCTATGTCCAACTGAGTAGGAGAATCTGAGTATTTTCTGTGCCCTGGAGACTATGTGATGGCAAAAGACTACAGAAGAAAGAGCTGGAAGGAACCTATGTGGAGGGGCTTGTATCAGGTGTTGTTGGCTGCCTTAATGATGGTAAAACTGGTGGAGACAGATACTAAGATTAATGTTTTCCACTATAGGAGTGTTCCAACCTCAGCCATTGGGTAGCATTGTTGTTTTTTGTGTGTGTCTGTGCTTGTGTCATTGCAGCAGTAACTCTGAGCTTCCCTATGGGTAGGCTGATTGAAGGACACTTTTCACAGACCGATGTCGATAGATTGAGAGGGACTTTGGCTGATCCGGAAACCTAGTGACGGGGGAAGGTTAACAACAGAAGTGACCTACATATCGTTGTCCAGGTTATACCAACGATGGTACTGATAGAGGGGAGTATTGGGTATCATCTTAACCATTGTACCAGAGTGAGGGAACTGAGGATTGAGAGATTTCAGATCTCCAAGTTGCACCAGATATCCTTATCATTGATTTCTATGTATTTGACTAGTTACCTGAGAATAAGGGGAATGGAGTACTGATAATAATAATAAAGAGCAGAAGGAAAAGACACAGAAGGGATCACTATTAGAATACAAGGGTTAAAATATTATTGGTGTGTGAGAAACCAGCACAAAGAGAATGGGGAAGTCACATGGGGTAGTGTGACCTTAAGATAATGAAAGAAAGAGACAGGTGAATCATAGACATAAGGAGAACAGTCCAAGACTTAGATAAACAATTTGATGTAGTATTTGGTGTTAGATTTCCAGGGGAAAGTGTTATTAGAAGAGAGAAGTATAAGCAATTGTTAGAATAGGAACAAGGAAAGGGAAACACTAGATTAATGTCAAATAGAGTATGAGAAAAATATAGGAATGTTACAATAAAACAATTGGGTTATATAATTTGGGGAGAATTCAAGGGAGAATGTGAAACATAATAATGATTTGTCATGTAGACAATGTTAATAGGGATGTTTTGGATTGGAAATTAACTCAACTGAACTGTTATGATCTGTCCTTTCCTGAGGTTACTACGGATGGTGTCGTAATGCATTGCAGAGATCAATTGGCTCAGAACGGTGTAAACCTCAATAAAAACCAAAAATCCTCTACTTGGCTGAAGAGGAAACAACAAAGGCGTTGAAGAGGTTCCTGTCCGACCCACCCCTGTCAGGAGAACTGAATCCAGCATCAAATCAAAGCAATATACTGGTTTGCACATGGACAAAACAGGATGATGGTGGAGGTGTGGCGGTTCAGGTGTGACATTGGAATTGGGACATTGCTATGGGTAATTCAAGATGAACTATGAACTACATAATGAAGAATAATGAAGACGCCAGAAGATTGAGTGCCGGTGGAGGAAGGGAGTGTTAGTTGAGGTAGTATGTTGATTAAGGAGGTATTATACACTACTAAATTTATAGTAATTTGGACAATGCATTAGGGTACTGATCTGATGTAATTCTTGTTATGAGGAAGTTAAATGCTAGAATTAGTATAATATAAATATACATTCGGCCAGTATCGATATGTGCCAAGGTGAGAGTTTTAACTTTGAATGATGGAACAAAGGTGACTAATTAAGAATTGTCATTTTAAAGTTGTTTTGGGTAATTCATTTGATTATGATTATAATTTATAAGTGGACTGACTGATCTGAATAACTTATTAATATTAATGCTTAGTGATGTTGACATGGCAATTAATTGATTAGATATGGATATTGATTATTTTGATTGTTATAATACTTGTGATATGAGTGATTAATCTTTGTATTGATGGGACAATATTATAATGTCCCAAAGGGGGGATATGTGGTATTATTTCATGTATCATTAAGGCAAATGTAGGGAGAGGTCAAAGCAGAGACATTTATGTGTTTATCATGGACTCCCTGCAGCTGGTCTGGGTGTGTCAATGACATGTGATGGCTGTGTGGAGATTGGAGTAATAATGGACCTAGTATTGTCATTTGTTTGCTTATGACCCTATGACCTGACACATGGCCACATGCACATAAACTCAAGGGCCAGGGAGGGTGGTAAATGATAAATGCCTTAATGTATGTACGTATATTATTTGTAAAGAAGGGGTCTGCAACCATATAATGAGATTAGGGAAAGGGTCTGCTACCAATATAATGAGATTAGGGAAGAGGCTTCCTGTGGAAAAGCGCCCATGACCTTTTGGAGTACATTATAGGTGACATCTGGACGTTGAAAGCTAAGGTAGAGTGGTACTAAAATAAGTTAATCATTTGCCCTAAGGGGAGGGACTGTATATGCTATGTAACATGATTATGCATTTGTGTGTATAAAAGGGAGCTCTAAGCTAAAGGAAGACAGTTGTGGCTCCATGGACCAAACTCGGCTTTGTTCTTCAATAAAGTCTAAATTCTTAAATTCACAGGCTCTGATGTCTTGAGAGATATCTTTGAGTTGATTATCTAGTCAAATGTTTCTACAACAAGCATAAACAAACAAAGTGAAACATGAGGGGAGACAAAAAAATGGCATCCCACTGAAAAGGCAATTCAACCATTACCAAGTGCAGTAGCCGTTGGCATGTCATGGCTTTTCCCAGAGTGAAATACCAACAACAATGTGCCCGCCCATGGCCTGTTGTTGGCTTTGAACCCCTGACCCCTGGCGTATTATGGTTGACCTCCTGACCTTTCATGCCACTGCCGTCTTCCTGGAAGGTGTTTCTGGAGCCCTGGTCCTCAGTCTGCTCGCTGCCTGAGGATGCCACACTACTCTGGGGGGACAGGGGCGCGTGGTCAAAGGCCTGTCGCCCCCCCAGGTCGTCCTGGCTCAGCCAATCTGAGCCACAGACCTGTGAATTGGAGGGGATTAGGGACGAGGACCTCTTCAGAGGACTGGGCTGGCCCATCTGACCCATGCCTGGCAGGGGACACAGGAGGGTCAGAATGTTAGAGATAATCACAGTAAACCATCCCTTTAATGAAGGCTAGGCCTATACAGAGAGACTCTTTAGATGTGACAATCATTACGAAGATCACAGACTAAATAGTTGAGCATGATTACATAACCACATGAAGAAAAGGTTGTATTGTATCAATTGGTGGACTCATGCCATATTTAGACTAGATAATGTTAAACAAGGTTGGAGTGTTGTAATGTGGAGCAATGAAATGGAGTATCAGTCTACTCTGTGACACCCACAGAACACAACTGTGAAGAGTTAACGCTAATATTAGCGTCGTAGCTCTTATCAGGGACTTGAGACTGTGGGAAATCACCTCCCCAGTCAGCCTATTGTAGGTACTGACAATCAAATTGCACTGTACAGCCTTACCTAAGGATTGGGGATCAATGAAATGGGGTATCAGTCGATTCAGTACCCAAGTGCTTTTTTCCCCAACGTCCTCCGCAGTTATCAGACTCCAAAACATCCATGTTATATTGTTTTTCCTCTGGAATAGTGTTCAATACACATAGTAGGTTGACTGGTACAATAAATGTGGCTCAATTCAGTGGTTTCAGATTCCCGCAATAAGAGCTACGACGCTAATGTTCTCTGGGTGCCACTGAGTAGACTGATAACCCATGTCATTGATCCATAATCCATAGGTAAGGCTGTACAGTGAAATAAGTATGCCCCCAATGCAATTCTAAAGTCTAATACATCCAGTGTGATTTCAACCGATTATTGTCAAATTAACAAATGATTGTCTTTTGTTGAATTTATATAACAACATTCCAACCTCGTTTAGCATGATCTATTCAATTCTGGCATAATTCCACTATTTGTATTCATTTGCATCACTGTCAATGACAGAGTTTTATTTTGAAGGTGAACCGCAAATTCCACTATTGTGGCTTATCCTTATTGTGGCTAGCTTCACATAGGTGGGTCCGACCACCATTAATCAAATAAGAACTGTCTTATAAATTAGGGGTATTTTAGATGATGACACCTAGCTAGATAGGTAACTATAGCTACTGAAACAGATTGTGTCGTTTTTCTATGTTTTTGGGGAAGAACATTGTTTGCATCCATCAGCCAGCTAGCTGTTTTTATGACCAGCACTGTCCAGAGCTTGGGGATGTGTCTGCGCTCGTGCTGCAGCAGGTGCGCGAGGCATCGTAGTGTACGTATCGGTGAATCATTGTGACATATTAAATACGAGTGATAGTGTAATCAATGTGTAATAACTACGAAAAAAAATGTATGAACCTGTTAAATTATTCATATTCAGGTCCTGATTGGTCAACAAGTTTATTTGACACGTCAAATAGTGTTATTTGACGTGTATATTTTTTGACACGCAAAGACCCAAACGGCGTTCCATACTGACCTGCGTTGTTGCTGTTGATGGGCGAGGGCATCCCACCCTGGAAAGACGTGTGTCCGTTCTGCCCTGCAGGGGAGGAGCTGGAGGAGGGGGGCTTGTCCAGCCAGCCATGGCCAGGGTCCAGGCCCTCTGCGGAGCCCGGCCACTCGTCTGAGCCCTGGCGGGGGTGGTAGGGGCCGGAGGGGGGCCGGGAGGAGGGTGCTGGGTAGCCGCTGGACAGGTGCTCCTCCAGGTGGTTGAGCCACATGGCCAGCGAGGTGCGGTCGTCCAGGGTGGTGGCCGGGTGGATGAGGGCGTAGGACAGCAGCTGTCTGCTCTCCTCCACAAACAGGCTGCTCTCGATGGTGTAGCTTAGCACCTTCTGCAGTAGCTTCATGTACTCACACTTGGCCTCGCTGTTGCGGGGCTGCAGCAGGGGCAGGTGGGAGAGCAGCAGGGACACCGCCTTCTCCATGGGCTCCTGGTGCCACTGGCTCACAATGTCTGGAGAGGTGAGGGACAGAGGAGGGACAGTTATTTACAAGTAAAATACATTTTTACAGTTAAAAAAACAACAGAAAAATCTTTATTTAACCTTTTTTTTTACTTGTAGGTCTATCTGTTACATGGTTTTTACACCGTAAGATAGTGTGTACCGGTAATGCAACATGGCTAATCCAATAGGGTTTCAAATGTGTCCTTCAGAAATCTGCAGTCATTAGCTACCTGCATTGTTGGCCTCAGCCTCCAGGATGTGGATCTCAGTGCAGTCTGCCAGCCAGTGCTCCAGGCAGATGTGCAGGAAGCGGGCCTGGGTACGAGATGCTCTCTTCAGCAGGGACAACAGCGCCACCGTCTGCTCACACTCGTTCCAGCCCTTGAACCAGTCCGTCAGGATGCCCACCTGGTCTCGGAACATCATGGCGCGTTCCCAACAGCAAGGGGGGCGGGAATATGTGGGTGGGGGGTTCGGGGGAAGACTGTTGCTCACACTCAGGTTCACTCTGGCCCCGCTCAGCGGCTGCTTTTACACAACAGTCCTGGGATCCCCTCAAAGTGGAGCGAGGGGCCCTCACATGGTTCACGTGCAGGAGATGGGGGTGCTGAGGGGAGGGCTGGGAGGGGGCGTGTTAAATCCAGCTGGTTGTGTCTTAGACAGAAGGAGGATTCTCTCTCAGGTGCATCAGTGTCAGCATCATCCAAATCTTAACAAATCAACAGGGAAGGGAAAAGTACATAAGATACACTGAACAAAAATATAAACGCAACGTGTAAAGTGTTGGTCCAATATTTCATGAGCTGAAAAGATCCCAGGAATTTTCCACTCACAAAAAGCGTATCTCTCTCAAATTTGTTGCAGAAAATTGTTTACATTCCTGCTAGTGAGCATTTCTCCTTTGTCAAGGACAGGTGTGGCATATCAAGAAGCTGATTAAACAGCATGATCATTACACAGGTGCACCTTGTGCTGGGAACAATAAAAAGGCCACAAAAATGTGCAGTTTAGTCACACAACGCCACAGATGTCTCATGTTTTGAGGGAGTGTGCAATTGGCATGCGGACTGCAGGAATGTCCACCAGAGCTGTTTCCAGAGAATTGAATTTTAATTTCTCTACCATAAGCCGCCTCCAACGTCGTTTTAGAGAATGTGGCAGTACGTACAACCGGCCTCACAACCGCAGACCACGTGTATGGCGTCGTGTGGGCGAGCGTTTGCTGATATCAACGTTATGAACAGAGTGCCCCATGGTGGCGGTGGGGTTATGGTATGGGCTGGCATTAGCTATGGACAACAAACATAATGATCAAAAATACCATGACAAGATTTTTTTAAAGGTATATCTGTATTCCCAGTCATGTGAAATCCATAGATTAGGGCCTAATGAAATTATTTCAATTGACTGATTTCCTCATATGAACTTTAACTCAGTAAAATCGTTGAAATTGTTGCATGTTGCGTTTATATTTTTGTTTAGTATAATTTAACTAGGAATTTGATGCTTGTACCGAACCCTGATCATGATCACTTGACAATGAAATCCCAATACCAGAAATGCTGTTCATGCAACAAATTGAACTAACCAATATCAACATGGTGGCATGACTGCCACAGACCACAGGCTTGAGTGAGGGCCATCTACAAACACATTTTTTGTGGTTATTTCAATATACTGTGGCTCCAAGATAATAACTATCATGTGAGACAAACACAAACTTACAGGGGCCAATCATGAAATCTGACACTAACCACGTTTCCATCCAGTTTCAGAAATGTCGACAGACAATGTTCGTTCGACATGGTGGGATCGTTCTGTGTCAGTAAAATGTATGGGCTCCCGAGTGGCGTAGCGGTCTAAGGCACTGCATCTCAGTGCTTGAGGCGTCACTACAGACCCCCTGGTTCGATTCCAGGCTGTATCACAACTGGCCGTGATTGGGAGTCCCATAGGGCGGCGCACAATTGGCCCAGCGTCGTCCGGGTTTGGCCGGTGTAGGCCGTCATTGTAAATAAGAATTTGTTCTTAACTGACTTGCCTAGTTAAATAAAGGTAAAATAAAATGATGTGACAAAATGCGGTGGAAACGATTTATTGCGCAATTCTTGATTGAACAACCATCCTGTCAAGGTACATTTGCAGTCACGCGATGCTATGTTGTGTGGTCCTCCCACTTCTACTTGAAATAGCATGCAGTTTATTAGGCTACAGATATTGAACTTTAATGAACTTAACAGGGTGGTGAAAGTGCACGGTGGTGAGCTTGATGCACCTTTCCAAATAATATTGAGGGTCTTCATTTGTATGCTGTAAAATGATGATCGGTGCTTAGCTGCCAATTAACAAATTAGAATGATCTTGCTCATATCCATCTCATCATATAACCTAACCTGTTCAATTTATCAGCAAACTGTTGTCTAGAGAACATGCACGGAAACAAGATTGGGCAAGTTTGCCATTTATAGTAACAGTTTGCTTGTGTGACAAACTTCTAAAAAAAATTACTTAAAATAAACCATTGAAATAATTAAATATATGTTTTTTATTCAGTACATGAGAATTTTAGCGCAAAAGTGTTTATGTGCACTACGTCATCATGCACAGCCTTTTATCCACCAATCAGTTTTGATGGAAACAAACCTCTGGCGGGAAAATTTGCATATTTTGTAATGAGATTTTATCATATTCGCATGAAAACCGGTCACAAATTGGATGGAAACCTAGCTACTGAGACTCAGATTGTTCACTTTGAAATGTATGTCAAACAAAAACCAATGATTGCAAAGTTAAACAAACCATACAGCTCTATGTACAATAACTACTTTGAACAATTTCCACTGAACATTTTACAAAAACATTTATTTGAAGAACAGAATGACGGCACAAACAGCCATTCTGTTACCAAACTTTGCATATGCACTGTTCTTGAAGTAAATGTGTTTTTGTAAAATGTTAAGTGCAAATTGTTCAAAGTCCTTGTGCATAGAGTTGTATGGTTTGTTTTAACTTTGCAATCATTGGTTTTTGTTTGACATACATTTCAAAGTGAACAATCTGAGTCTCACTAATCAGGTTTCCATCCAACCTTTTTATGCAAATAAAATAAATGTTGGATAAAAAATGTCATGACAGGCCCGATGCAAACATTACATTTTTCGGTAATCTTTCCAAATGTCAACAAAACAAAATACACTAGACAAGGTGGGATATTGTTGTGTCAGTACAATTAATTATGCAAGAAATGTTGGTGGAAACACTTTTATGCTCAAACATTGATATATAAGAGGTTTATTTGGAGTCAAGCAATGACGTGTGGTCGTCCCAGTATGACTCGTCGGGAAAGCATGCAGTTTATTAGGCTACAAATTAAATAAATTATGAGGAACTTCACAGGGTGGTGAAAGTGCAAAGTGATGAGCTTGATGCTCCTTTCCAATAAATATAGGGTCTTATTCAGGTGACATGATAATCTGTGCTTGGCTGCAGTTTGACAAATACAAATGATCTTGCTCTTTTGTCCATAATATTAATCTCATCATTTAGGCCAGGGATGGGCAACTTTGATGGGGGTGGGGGCCACAAAAAACAGAACTCGTCATGAGGGGCCCCAGTGGCTCGTGGGTCTGCGTACCCACATCCCACATTGCGAGCAAAAAAATTTGCCGCCCCTCTCGTGACAGCGAAGATAAAAAAAACGCAAAATGTAACTTCATTTCCTGCAATTCTGTACATTTTGCCATGGGGCATAGAGAACATGTTGCCATTTTAAAGCAAGTTTGCTTCAATTCTACACATTTTGCCATGGGGCAGAGAGAAGATTTCGCAATTGTATAACTCATTTAATGCAATTCTACTTATTTTGCCATAGGGCTAGAGAAAAATTAGCAGTTTTACAGCTAATTCACTGCAATTCCACACATTTTGCCATACGGTGGAGGCAAATGTTTGCAGTTTTTAATATGATAAATAATGGGCCCCACCCCGGTCTGTATTTCGACAATGCTTACTACAAGTTTAGATAGCTGGCCGCTAGACTAACTTACAAATCTAAAAACATTTAGCTGACATGGGCAGGCTAATTGAGTGACTGCTGATGCACAACCAAATTTCGAAATTGCACCTTGTGTATTCGATTATTCTCTCAACAGTAAGTTGAGACCCCGACTGACTAACTACATTTTTTTTCTTTTTTTTTCTTTAAATTAGTCTTCGGGCCTACAAACAGTGGGCCATGCGCGGGCCTACAAACAGTGGGCCATGCGCGCCAGTTGCCCATCCCTGATGTAGGCTATACGTGTGCTCTAGCCAACAACGCGCATGGCCCAGTACAGTTGAAAATACGAAACCCATATATATCTTGTATTTTTGATTCCTTACATGAAAATGTCACTGCAAAAGGTATTTTTATGTGCACTACCACATCAAGCACAGTCTATAATCTGCAACAAGTCAATTTGATTGAAACACTTCCGGTAAAATGTGCATATAGTTTTTATGCTCATTTTAGAATATTTGCATGAAACTGTCGCCAATTGGATGGAAACCTAGCTAGTATAACTCGGTTACCGTGGAATTGCCAGTAAAGATAGTCTCTGTACAACACGCTAATGCATATTCTTTATTTAGGCCAGCTAATCATAATGCAGGATAATCAGCTTCATGATGCAGTGAAAGTAGAGCACATTATTGCCAGCATCATCACTTCAGCATCAACACAGTTTACGGTAGAGAACTTCCATGCAGAATGCATGCACATTTCTATTGACCATTCAGCCAACATCTGTGAAAGTTTGATAAAGCCAACATCTAGGCCTAGCTGCCCAGTCAATGCATGAGTGTGTTTGACTTGAAGCGAAAAACAAAGACTAATAATAATAATAATAATATGCCATTTAGCAGACGCTTTTATCCAAAGCGACTTACAGTCATGCGTGCATACATTTTTGTGTATGGGTGGTCCCGGGGATCGAACCCACTACCTTGGCGTTACAAGCGCTGTGCTCTACCAGCTGAGCTACAGAGGACCACGTTATCTCCATGCAATCTACATGGCTGTCATGTATTATTAGAACAATAAATACTATGTGATGACTTGCAATACAGCTTGTTACAGGGTAAAGTAATGGCTTCACAGGTTGCCAATAGGCCATGGCATGATCAATCAAATCTGAAACGGTCATCCAACCCTCCCAGTATCGCAATGACCACCTGAGTGGTGGTATATAACTTGTACAGAGACCTAGATGTTATGTAGCTATGTTTCCTTTACATAAATAGAACCAGCCTGGTCTAATAGGCTAGACATAACATACTACATGTCAATCCGGGGCACTCAAACTAGTATAATATGTTACATTTGGTATGGTTACATAAGACAAATGGTTACTTAAAGTAAAAACGAAAGTAGGGTGGTTGGTCGTGGAGGGCATATAACGACAACGTTGCGAGTTCGAATCTCATCATGGACAACTTTAACTAATTCGCAACTTTTCAACTAATTACTACTTTTTAGCTACTTTGTAACTACTTAGCATGTTAGCTAACACTTTCCTTAACATACTACTGTACTGTTGGAGCTAGGAACACAAGCATTTCGCTACACCCGCAATAACATCTGCTAAATATGTGTATGTGACCAATACACTTTGATTTGATCCTTAACTTAACTCCTACACTTAACCCTAACCGTTAGCCACCTAGCCAGAATTCGTAACATTGTAAGTTTTTTCAAATTCGTAACATATCATACGAAATAGGTTTTGGACATCCACAAATTAATGAATACCATACTAAACGTGACATATCATACTAAATGGAGTGTCTCGGATTTACGTACAGAATAATACACGGTCCGAGACCAGCCAGCAACCTATAGATATTTGTCCAAGTTTTTAAAAACAGAACGTTAACGTTAGTAGCTAAGTTCTGGCTAGGAGGGGCTGTATTAATAGTAGCTAGCTGGGGGGGGGGGGGGGATATTCTAACTAGGCTACCTAGCTAGCTAACGTTAGCATAAGACACCAGTCCAGAACCAAGTGCCTACCTATATGGCTAATCAACTACGTTAGATAGTTTGCCAGTAACTATGTGAAACAAAAGAGGGTCCCTTTTTTTAAAAAACATTTTACGTGAACTATCACAGCTAGCTAACGTTAACTCGCAGCCTTACCTATGGTAAGTTAGCTTGCTAGCTACGTTTGACCAGGTCATATAGTCCCGTGTAGCACAGTTGGTACAGCATGGCGTTTGCAACGCCAGGGTTGTGGGTTCGATTCCCACGGGGGACCAGTATGAAAATGTATGCACTCACTAACTGTAAGTCGCTCTGGATAAGAGCGTCTGCTAAATTACTAAAATGTGAAATGTAAAACGTCATACATGTAGTTAGCTAGTCAGAAAATGTAAAAACAAACCTGTGTGACAACGGCGACGTTTCCAGGGCACGGCTGTTGCAGTCTACTGCACAGGGTGGATTTGATGGGCTAGGGGCAGTTAGTTAGCTAGTTAAAACTAACACCAGGCCTTCACCGTGTAAATAGATGAGAGATTCAGTAGCGACGTTGCTGTTGGAATGTCTCTCTATTTTTCATGTCGTTAAACGACATCACAGTCCTCGCGTTGCAAAGGTCCTCCATGGTCCATTTAGCAAAATACACGTCAGGTTACATACATTATACCCACATCCCACCCTTCAACTTCTAGCGGTTGGTTTGTTTACCTTCTTTGTGAATTGTCACTTGTTAGCTAGTTAGCTTCCTACCCGATTAAGCTATCTAACGTAGCCGCTAAATCGCTAGCAAGGGGCTATTTGCTTCATTTATAAACGCTGAATGAGACGAAGATTTCGATCCAACAGTTGTCGTTGACTGCTTTGAAAATAATGATTATCTGATTATTTCAAAGATAACATTTAAAAGAGTCTAGCTATGTACAAAATGTTTATTTGAACACAGAGAAATATGGAAAGTACGCTTCGCTAAATCTAGCTAGCCTACTTCGATTCAGAGTTGACGCAACGTCGGGGACCAACGTAATGGCGTTTGGGCGGGGTAAACAAAGAGAAAAGTGCCCCACCTAGTGGATGAAACGCAAACGCCCACACCACTACTAAACTGAAGTTGATCGATATGATCACAGAGTATCCATTATATTGACCAGATACTCAAGTGGCCGCTCTAACAATGGGAAAAAATGGAAGGCAGTCGGGAGGAGGCAAGATCAGATGGGACCATTCTAGCCAATGAGAGGGCATACACACGTGTGAACAACAGGCACAACTCCGATATAAAGTGGTGTTTCTCAAAATTGCCGGGATATCACGTGTCCTACTTATATTAGTACACTCGTAACAACCTAAGCATTACCGAACTTCTATTTGATCAAATAAGCCACACGTAGCAAATAAGCCATGCAATTTTTTGTTGCCCAAATTCGACACTCATGACCTCCATACAAAAACGCCACCTGCAGGAGAAGACAGATTTTGGGACCAGTTATCCCTCTCGCTTTGCCTCTTCCACTTTGATATGATGCATAGCTGCTGTCAAACAAAGCACTCTGTTCATTGAAGTTCAACTCCTTAGTCTCAAACAAACAAACATATTTGGCTTGATTGCATTTAATCAGTTAGATTAACGTTTGATGAATGAAGATAGAAATTACAGAGGACACAGACAGTGACTTGGCAAATTTGTTGTTTCTTGAAATAAAGGCTAAACACACTAATATGTAGAATTAATCACAATATCAAAGAATGCTCAGCTTTCTCTGACTGCACCCATTAAACAAATGTGAAAAGAGAATATCACTTTGTTATTTTATCTTGTTGCAACACTAATTATTTAGGGGTATACAACATTGTATTATTAAAAGGCACGATTTGCTGCCGGATACAGCAAGAGAGGATTGTAGATAGAACTAATGACATCCCTAACATTAGTCATTCTCAAGAAGTCTAGATCTAACACAGTGCTGGGAGGGGGTACTGGTGAATGCTCTAGTATTTGTTAATGTTTGCCCTCCCCGACTGTATGTGCTACTACATAAAAGGAGGATCTTGAGAGTCAGACAGCATCCTGTCTCAAGCAGTTGGCCGAGGAGGAACTATCTCAACAAGAAGACAGTATCTTTGCAGGCAAGAAACCAAAACCTCTTCTAGAATGGTATGGGAAACCGTTTATACGATATTGCACTTTACCAGGAAAATGTATTTCGGTATGGACGGTGATGTCCTAGTTTAAGTTGTAAAGGTTTTTAGGCTGGCGTAAATGTATTTTTGCTACTCCCCTCCCTTCCCCCCACACCCTCTTGACTCATGATGCAACAAAAGCACTTCCTGGCCTCAATATGTCACTTTAAGATTTTGTTATGAGCTATGCGTTCATGCGTTCATGGAAACTTGCACTTCAGAAATCAAAACAAGTTGCTCTAAAACCTCTTTCCCTGTGTCCCTACCTATTCTCTCTCTCTCTCTCTCTCTCTCTCACTGAGTGAAATATGACAGAACTTTCAATGATGTAGCCTGACAGTAGCAATATGACCAACATATACAATTACAATGTGTCAAAACTTCCCACGATTTATGAACTTGTTTCACTTTTACATTCTAGTCAAGCTCTCTGGTTGTGTGCGAGGTGGACGAGAGTCTGAAAGAAAAACTGAAGAAGTTCAGATTTCGAAAAGAGACCAACAATGCAGCCATCTTGAGTGAGTATGACTTCATTGAAAACATGTTCCTCAGTAGCCCAATTGTCATCTGTTTCACCTAATTCAAAAAAACATAATAAACCCAGAAACAGAGAAACATATGTCTAGGACTCAATATAGAATAATTGTCCTATTCCCTCAGTGAAAATTGACATGGCGAAACAGCTTGTGATCCTGGAGGAAGAGTATGAGGCAAGTCACAATGTCTTTCTGAGCTGTTGAATATCCCATACTGAGTTAATAATTACTCAAATTCATCCACACCTGTATCAATACCAGTTCAACTCAAAACACGCTCTCACATTTCAGGACATCTCCCTGGATGACCTGAGGAATGAACTTCCAGAGCGGCAGCCAAGATATCCTTTTATAACAAGTCGGAGTGATACAGCAGAAATCTGTTAACCTCATATTCACCAGAACTGCCCGTGTTAGTTGTATCAATGACCAGTGATTGGATCTCCTTGACAATATAGTGTACATTCATTGTTTACAGCTACAAATACATCCATACAGATGGCAGGGTGTCCTACCCACTGTGTTTCATATTCTCAAGTCCAGTGGGTGAGTATTTCACCCTAATTCAGTGAACAGTTTGTAAGTCGCTCTGGATAAGAGCGTCTGCTAAATGACAAAAAAACTGCCAATTGAGTGAAGGATTAGCATTACTGTGCTGCAACATCCCTTTGCACAAAATAACTTTTGGAAGGTAGTAAGTGCTGATAATTGAAAGTAGAGATGAGATTCAATCAGTGTTCATCATATGGAGAGATCAAAAAGGTTCAGTGGACAGACATCTGTGGCTTATACACCATCCTCATCTCAACAGGGTGCAAGCCTGAGCAGCAAATGATGTACGCAGGCAGCAAGAACCAACTGGTCTCCGCAGCAGAGCTCACAAAGGTCAGGACTATTGTCTGTTTCAAGAATTGACTGTTAATAATAATCTGAACATAAGCCCAACCCTAAACACACAAAATAGATAAGTTATAAATGTTCAGAAAATAAGCATGTTTAGCCTGATCCTCCTACCCCTTTTTTCTCAATAGGTTTTTGAGACACGAAACATAGATGACTTGTCTGAAGAGTGGCTGATAAACAAACTGTCTTTCTTTCGCTGAACAGACACTTGTGTTCATTTTGGAAAAAGTGCATGTATTGAACATACCAGTACATTAACTTCATTACCAGTTTGCAATAAATTGCTTAGATTGTCACTTATGTTATTGCATTCTTATTCCTTAGTTATACTCAAACCATTGTTACTAGCCTGGTTGCCAATCTGTTTCTGCTCTCTTGACAACTCCTTGTGGAATTGTCATGCCAATGAGTGACAAGGAATTGATGATAGCACAAACAGATCTAGGACCAGGCTACATTATTGCCACTTCGGAAGGAAAATGTTTTCAGGAATACATGTTAAATAAAAAAATAGGGGACTTTGGAGAGGGTGACTGTTAGCAGTATAAGAAACATACAGGCTTAAATGCTGTAAAGTCAGCTTCTACCATTTATTTACAATGTCTAAATGTAAATAAGTTTCCGTCACACAACTGAACTTATACAGGTTCATTGTAGCGGTTTCTGGGGGGGGGGGGCAGAAAAATCTGTTATTTTGAAAGTTTTTAGCTAAAATGTAAAAAAGCAACACTTTTCCTTACAAAACTATCCTGCATTTTATTGGCTGTTCCAATTACATTTATAATGCATTGCATCCTCAAATGCTAAGGACAAAGAAAAACGTATTTTAAACAGATTTATGCACACAAGAAAATTCAACAGAAAAAAAGTGTATCTGCTTTTCACACCACTTTATGAAAGTGCCTCATATTGAGTGAGAAATCGACAAACCATAAAGACAAACTAAGACTTAAAATAACAAAATAACAGCTTAAAATAACAAACGAAATATGTTCTTGGTAGGAAATAATTTTGTTAAAAACTACTAAGATAGTGGCTCCAGCTATATCTATGAGCTAAAGTCTGACATTTGAGTAACTGGCATTTACAGGTACCCAAAAGCCTTGTAGAAGTCGCTTAAAAGGTTGTGTCTCTCCTAAAAAAGTAGCAGACAGACTAACTCTCAACAGGAATGAGTTGCTGGCCTCAGACTGACTCTGTAAAGACAGGGCTGTTCTGAGGGTGGGGCTCGTTAGCCTGGGCTGGCTGGAGCTCGGGGGTGAGGCATGGTGTGCCGGTGTTGTCACAGTAAGAAGGCTTTTATTCACTGTCACTGCCGTCGCTGGAGTCTGAGGCCTGCTCACTACCACTCCCGCTCTGGGCGCGGCCGCCCTCTGAGTGGTCACTACCGCTACTGTGGGCCGGAGACGCGCTGCCACTCCTTCTCCTCTCCCTATGGCTCTCCTTCTCCTCCTCCTCGCTCCCACTGCCCTCCTCCCCGCTGCTCTGGGCTGCTCCATTCTTGGGCTCATTGTCATCGTCATCACTGTCGTCATCGCTACCGAAGATCTCCACCTCATCCGCCAGCTTGATCTCCTCCTCACCACTCTCACTGCCGCTACCACTGGCCTTCCTCCTCCGCTTCGCTCCCTCCTCTTCATCATCCTCAGCTCCACTCCGCTTTCCATCCTCATCCTCCCTGTCAGAGTCACTGTCAGAGTTGTCTCCCTCGCTCTCGCTGCCTTTCTCCTTCTCATCACCTGGAGACAAACAGATACAGACAATTAGTTCATATGGATCTAAGAAGCAGTGGCAAACAAATAGCCTCTGCAGACACAGTAGTAAACATTGGGGAGGACAGAGAGGGGGGAGACTGACCAGAGTCCTGCAGTTTACCCAAGTCCATGTCCTCTTCTTCATCCTCCGGTTCATGGTTCTCCAGCTGAGCCTTACGCGCGTCCTAATGGACACAAAGACGGATGTCATTATTACTTGGATTATTTAGATGTCTGCAAATGTATACTTCTCTGCTTATGTCCAGTACTACATGCACATCTCTATCAGTGTTGAAGTCCACTTATTAAGTAAACACAGTAGTTTACAGATTGAAAGTAATGCACAGTGTAGAAAACAGCAAAGGAGTGCCTGATTAGCAGTCTCACCTGTGCTTCCAGCTCCTTCTCATTCATGTCTCTGTGCTTACACACCAGCACAGCATTTGTAGTAGACTGGGCTCCAGCCTTAGCTCTCCTCTTACTCAGCCGCACTCTGCAATCCAGGACAACACAGTAAGAACAACAACCTTCACAGGTTTCGTGTCCTCAGGCCAAAACAAACAAACTAAACCCACCCTAGCAAATACAAATCTACCAGAACAATGTGACTATCTCATCCAAGAGAATCCCACGTCACCTGCTGTTAAAGTAAACCCAACAGACCCCACTATGAGACCCCCCACCCTGGCCAGTGGTTACCTGGTCTCCAGCTCGTTGTAGTAGACTCCATCTCCGTCTCTGAAGATAAAGAAGTAGTTCTCCTCGTAGCCCTTGCTGGCTTTGTTCTTCACGTTCCAGTTGTACTCCCTGGCTATCTTATAGTCATACCTAGAACACACACACACACCACCCTCATCACATCTAGTTCAATGTTACAGTAAGTGTGTTTCAGAGATTCCAACATCATACACGTTCTGTACTTGGACAAGGTGAACCAAGTAGGTGTGAGGAAGTAGACAATGACAACGTGAAAACTGAATATTATTGATAGAGATAGTATAGTTAATATATCAGTATCATTGTTGGTGTGTCCTGTCTACTCAAGGTTAGTGTAAATGCTTGTTGGATTACTCACAGATCATCAGGCATGTAGTCCAGCTCCTCATCCACGTCTCTCTTGCGCTTGCGAATCGTTTCCTCATTGGGAAGGAAGTAGGCCACAAACTGGTTTCCTTCCTCATCCATCATACCTCTGCAGGGCACAACAATGAACAATTCAGAACATTATGTAAATTGTCATAGTGCAGGACGGTCACAGAAAATCAAAGACACAATGTGGCAATGTTCTCCTCACCTAATCATGGCCTGTGACATCATCTCCACACCCTGGGGTGCTGACATGTCTTTAGGAGCAGGATCAGAGTCGAAGATTACCTGAGCACACGGGTTGATCCACATCTGGGGAGCAGAGAACAGAACACACAAATGCTTACTCTTTACCAAAACACACTAGGGCTAGACAACAACAGCTAAACGCATCCAGCTTGGAACAGATACAGGAACCAATGACTCCCCAGAAACAAAGACCATGGGCATAATGCAGATAGGTAGCCAAGACCAATACAATGGTACTGTATGTCCTGTTGAGTGTTTTGGATGCTCACCTTGAAGTCAGGGAACACCGGCATCACCTCCACAGGAGTGACTCTGGGTTTACTGTAGTGCTGGGCAATCTGGGGGAAGAGGAGGAACACAGTGTGTGATGTACAGATGTAGGATCTTAATTTGATCGCTTTTGTTGCTGAGAATTCTCCTGTTATATTATACAGCTATATTAACAGTGTACCACTTTTCATGTAGCCTCATTTTGACCAGCTAATAGCCTAACCACCAATCAAGCAACATTATGGACTAAACATAAAAATCCTGTTGCTGCAGGATTATTTTGCTGCGACAATATAGGTACAATTAAGATCTGACATCTGTACAATAACTTTGTTCGTGATGGAATTAATCATATTAGAAGGAACATACAATGAACTGTGTGATCTCTGTGTAGCTGGACATTGACTTTGATGTTGTTACTGAAATACCTATTTGGACTGAATATAGCACAATAAATTGTGCAGAGCCAAACACGGGGCACTCTCACCGGTTTCTGTGCATCCTCAAAGGTCTTTTCAATAGCAGCAATCTGGCTGTCCCTATCCTTGTATATCTCCTCCTCTGTGAACTGCTGTTTGACAGACACACCGATCCTAAGGACAGAACACATAGGTTATAGAAGGGGTGGGACAAACAGAGAAAACACTACAAAATGGGAAGTGTGTATGCTGAATGTGGTGGTTAGCTAGCCTGTTAGGTCACACTCACTTGACTTCCACTTTCTCATTGGAGACTCCATATCTGTTGAACTCTGTAGAGATGTACTCAGTCTTCCTCATCCACGGGACCACCTTGGCGTGCTGCTGAGATCTACAGGAAAACAAACAAACGGCTCATAACACAGATTCCAAGTCATTCTTAACATTTTAGTTGAATTTTGTCACACAGATACTGTGTTGACTGGTACACAGTCTGTATCCAAACCTTTTCGAGCTGGATGGAGCTGTGATGTCTTCTTCCAATAACTTCTCATCAGCTGGATCCAGAAGAACTAGAAAAATAAGGATGGGACGATTCTAATTCAATACTACACAAGCTTCAAGTAACCACCACAAAAATATACTGACTGTGTGGTATAACTGTGTATGTGGTTCAGAAACGTACTGCTGGGGTCGACGCGGTAGGTGTCTGGGTTAATGAGGTCGATGGTGACGCCAAGGTCAGGCTCAGTCAGCAGCTCATGTTTGTGTTGCTTCTCTAACGATGTAGCCTTGTACTGCACAAACCTGTCAACATCAGACAGAGCAACATCCAGTCACATCAGTCAGCTACAGTACGGTATTTATAGAAGAAGGCTTAGAAAATAAAAGCTACAATACATTAAATAGACATACCAACATTTGGAATGACCTTTATAGCAGAAGGAACTTGGTAGGAACAAGGGTGTTTACCTGTGCTGGTCAAATGGATATGTGATGAATTTGGGATCAAATGGGATGTCAGGCAGGCTGTTGCAGTACTTTACTCGACAGACCACTCCAGACCTGGGAGATTGGTTGGGACAAACATAGAAGCACACATTTAAAAAATGTATAGAGAAGAAGTAGTCATCAAAAAAATGTTCTATCAACCACTAATGCCACATATCCTCATAACCCAAAGAGATAACTACCTAATGGTCATATGGGTTTTGATCTGTCCATTATATCTCCAGCCCTCCCCTTTGCATTTAACAACACACAATAACTTGAATTGTAACTGAATCTCTGTTTGGTTGAAACATGTCAAAGAAACTGCATGCATGCATACCTCTCTGGAACAGTTCTGTGTGATGAACTCCTAGACATGTGGAGAGAAAAAACAAGTGTTGTTAGCTACACACTCTGCTGAGACTGAATAAATTGGAAGTAACACAGCACCCATTTCAATATTTTAACTTATGACGGGACAATCAGAACATATGTAAATTATGATGATCTTTAACTAGCCTTGTCGTCATTAGCTAGGTTAGCTAACGTTAGCTAGTTGCGGCAAAGAAGATAAATCGGAGAGGATATTTACCTGTCACCATCTGAGTCTCGCTGGGCTTGTGTCTGTATAGTTGGAGCCATTATCTTAAAATAATGATCACGGCTGGAAGCACAACTTCATATAAATGCAGACAACCGATCAAGTAACTCCTTACTAAAACACTTTACCTGAAAGAAAGAGAAACTCCGTTGACTACCTAGCTAGCTAATTACTTACTCCAAAGTACTCAGAGCGTGTTCTCTTTTTCCCTTTCTGTCCTGGCTGGCTGCGTCTTGCTACTAGTAGGACCCCTAATATTTTCATGGGTAGCTTCGGAGCGGCCTGAATATATTGCGTCGCAGATCTACGGTCAGTTTTTGCTATATAATAATATAATAATATGCCATTTAGCAGACGCTTTTATCCAAAGCGACTTACAGTCATGCGTGCATACATTTTTGTGTATGGGTGGTCCCGGGGATCGAACCCACTACCTTGGCGTTACAAGCGCCGTGCTCTACCAGCTGAGCTACAGAGGACCTATATATCGTATGTGGATTTGTGGTAGGCAGTTGTACCTTAAACTGGCACAATTTCTACGAAATTGAAATATGAAACTGTTTGAAATAGAAGTGCAACAACAAGCTTGGAAAATGTCAGAATTTATTCTGTCTTCGGATGCAAACAAATAAAAACAAACGCACCATTGATGTCACTGCCCAGTTTAAGCCCTGACATGCCACTTTCCTAAACAATAATAATAATAATAATAATAATAAGCCATTTAGCAGACGCCTTTATCCAAAGCGACTTACAGTCATGCGTGCATACATTTTAGTGTATGGGTGGTAAGTCGACATTAAAAAGACAATACTTGTGTTAGGCTATGCCTGACATTACAGAAGGACTATCATCAATTAAGACAATTTACAAGTTATGAACAGATACAAATCGAAATGTGGAATTAATCTATGGATTGTAATAATTTTCCTCATTTGCTATTAGAGCTTTCATGACATTATTATTGAGGTGTGAGCTTTACAACAGCAACAAAAAACAAGGACACCCACATCTATGGTCTTCATCAAAAAAGCTACATTCAGCATTTTAGTTTGAGTGCAAATTACAAAACTTGCAATACACTGATGAGTGCAAATTATATTTTCATAATGTTGGAACATTTCCAAGAGTAAAGCTTTTCGTTGAATATGTGTATCATGTCAATAATGTTAGTGTTTTACATAACAAAACAATCCAGTGACACTGTCATGTAAGTGCCCAGACTGAAGCAGATTATGTATACAGACAGATTTGTGAAAACAAACAAATAAACAAACAATAAACAAACGTGTACAACCATGATAATGTGCAAGTCTGCTGAAATCCACAAAAAATACATTGACTATGGACTAAACCTCAGTCAAAAATATTTTTTCTAAGCATCTGCCAAGTGTTTTCACATTGTTTGACCTATCACATATTCAAACAGACAATAGAAATAGAACATCTGTATGATGGTTCATGCTTTGGTGGGGAACACTTAGCAGCCTCACTATGCATCTATTCCACAGTTACGGCAGGACCCCCTCCCTGGTTCTTCCTGCCAAGCTGGGTGTCTCTACCCATATCCAACAACAATCCAACTGCATTCAATTCAGTTTTGTTCATGTTGACAATGACAATGACCATGCACTAAATATATGACGGAACCAGGAGCAGGGAAGTAGAAAAGAACGACTGATTCTCATTATTTTATAGGAGTGTCTCAAACATACAGCTCCCATCATTTTATATCTGGAGAGAACAATCCATTATGTGCTGTTCCTCATATTCTTTCCCTATCTCAGGTCTGCATCTGTCCAGAGGGACCCACTCTGTGGAAAGAGAACAATGGAGACTTTATTCATGAAAGTGTCAAGTACTCAACCTGATCATGCCTATTCTCTTGTCAGCATCTGTAAACACATTATTGTGCCATGCTACATTGTAATAACTATTGACAACAGTATAGTTTCCCATTTCAGATACAAGTCATAGTACTGCATTTCATCTGATCACACCTAAGAACAGATTGAAATCAAAATTAGGACTCACCTGCTCAACATGTACAGCATTTGGCCGGGGTCATCTGCAAATACTCTGTAGTAACAGAATGAGAAAGGACGGTCTGTTTGATACTTCATCTGGATATTTATAAGATGATTAAGAATCAGCAAGTTGCCTGTGTGTAAAATATGATTAGGTACTCATACCCATCTCCCCAGTGATAAAATGCCTGGTCCTGGTAGAAGATGCATAGGTACAGCCACACGCTTATGGTCTCCACCCAGAAGATTACAAAAAGGAACCATAGTGAGGAGACTAGCAGCTCACACACCATCATGGGGCTTCTACAATGAGAGAGCAGAGAGAGGAGAGTTAAACCATAGGGGAACATAACACTACAGTCCTCTAAAGACCAATAGTGAAGGTACTGGTGGGAGCAACATGAGAACTGCTAGTCCTGAAGAAAGATAACAATATTAAACAATGGCAATTTTAGATCTTGATTGCAAACAGGGTTTGGTTTTTGGTTGAAAGCAAGGACATTTCAGGGATTATCAACACTAGCACATGAACTCAAGCCCAAACCAAACAAGCAGTATGTTGGTCTTTGCAAACTAGCAGATGTCCTTGCTAAGTATGGAGGAAAGTTGATCAGCTGTGTTCAGTGAGAGTGTAGCTAGCTGCTAGCTAACTCTCAATCTTGGTGACATGTATCATTGCCAGCTAACAATAAATATTGGAAATAAAGTATCTTACCTTTTAATCGTGATGGGAGCTGATTTAACGGTATCCAAGTCCGTGAATATCAATAACATTCATGGAGGCAAGATGTTTAGCTAAACTTGCTTGTTCTAGCTAGCTATTCACAATGCTACAGCTAGATAGCAATTAGCACCAGCTGACTGGGAGTTTTTTGTATTGTTGGCAAGCTAGAACAGTTAGCTAGCTTGCTTAATAACTAATTTGAGAAGTTAATATGGTTTTACTTTATAAAATATAACATTGTATTGCTATTTAGCCAGCTAACATGCATGTTTTCATTGTTCATGGACAGCTTTGCCTGCATGCTCCAGCAAATGTTACCAGTGAGTTCGAGTTGAGTTTCCGGGAGTCAGAATGCGCAGTACTGCGCAGAATTTGGGGAGCAAAGATTTGAGCTACACGCCCTAGTCTGGGTACCAGTCTGTTGAACTATCATTCCACTACTTGCTAGTCCATGTCATATGTGTGTAGCAGGCAACAACAAAAAAGTTCAGCATCTCTGCTTTGGCAAAAAGGGTAGTGGTATAATTAAGAACAGTATCTTGCAGGATTCAATAGTTGGAATTGTAAGAGTTGTTGCCCTGTCCCTTTCTCTGCAATTGTCATTTTAATGGAATCCAGAAAGAACAAAACCCTGTCCTCAAACATTTACATAAAAAGGTGCAAAGTTATGGGCAAACACACAAAACATCCACATCAAATTAAATATTTTTTTTGATCAAATAATATGGAAAACAACCACTTTTTGTGCAGTACTCATTAACCATCCTTACAAACCACGTGATGTAAATGTACATTATTGTATTGTACCTGTAGACTTTCCATCACCCTGAAGAAAAACATTGCACAATACAGTAATTGAGTACATTGAGACATCAAGTGGTTGGTGATGATATGATGTGGCTCAGTCGTCAGAACATGGCGCTTGCAACGCTAGGGTTGTGGGTTCGTCTCCCATGGGGGAACAGTATGAAAATATATGCACTCACTACTGTAAGTTGCTCTGGATAAGAATGTCTGCAGAAAATGAATGAATAGACCAATTCAGTTTTCACATAGAAACAAGTTGTATTTGCGAAGTATTTCAAGAAACTGGAAAACTTATATCAAGCAAGTATTTTTATGTTCCACAAGTATTATCAGATTAACTGTTTTGTATAGATAATTATCAGACTTAAATTACAAATGCTGGTAAACACTCAAATACATTTAGTTTAAACATTTTCAGAAAAGTAATGCACTGGGCCTTTACTAGTTCTGTATTTGCGGACAGATATAGACCTCTTCAGCTCGGGCATTTGGGGGTGGAGAGAACAGAGGAGAGCGCCGACATTTGGGGTCACCTAATTATTCAGCCATGGGTCAAGGGTAAAGTCATAGCTATGCTTGTATTTTTTAAAAAGTATTAAAGTCTCCATCAAGGTTACTTATCAAAAGAGTGTGGTTCATCGAACCAACTCGGTCACATTTCACCCCCCTTTGATCTCATTCTCAGAAATCATGGCACCAATATAACTGACTGGGTTCGAAATCAGGCCTACTGCACAACAACAACACTTTCTGTGGCAAACAGACAGATCTGTGCAACCCATTTAATGAGAGTGCAACGGAGGTGGTTTGGTGATCTATGCATGTGATGAGCAACCTTGCCTGAGACCTGAAGACATCATGTTTGACTGGTTTTAATGTCTTTGGTTTGACTGATGGGGTTCTAACCTAGATCTCCTGTGCGTCAGACAATGCAACTTTTCAGGTCTCAGACAAGTTACTCATCACATGAACTCCTCCTTGAAGAGGCCCATCCAAGTCACAGGACCAATGCCTAGGCTTTACCGCAACAGGCTAACACAGTCTTAACCCAGTCAGTCACCTGTTAACCTTATAATGATTACCCTTGCCGGAAGACCTGAAACTAACAACATCCAACACAAACTAACACATGTCAAACTAACATGTCTTCAGGTCTCAGCTCAGGCAAGGTTCTCATCACATAAGCATGGATCACCAAACTATGCTCTTTTGATGAGTAACTTTGCTGGATCTTGAAGACTTGTATTAGTGTAGCAGATAGGGATCTGTGGAACTCACTCCTCAGCCTTAAGTGTCACCCCTTGCACAATTGAAGAAGGCCTTTTTTAATAGCACAATGGGTTGGAATGCTTCAGGAGGGCGGTCACGTGTTTTCGAGGCAGAAGTCTTGAGTTCGAGTCTCCATATGAGCTGAATCAGGGGGAAGCAGTACTCGTTAAGCAAGCAGGTTGTCGTCCTTTACATGAACTTCCTGAACTTATCCCTATAGGCTTTAGCTAAGTGGGCTAACACAGTCTTGTGACATGCAGGAGACCTGGTTTGAACCCAGTTAGTCACAAGAGCAAGATTAAATAGGGAGGGGAAAGGCTTTTCTTAGAAGGACTATGACAGCCAGGGTTATTAAACTATATTCTTATCGGGGCCAAATTTATTTTGTGACACTCCCTGTGAACATCATAGAGGGGAACAAAAGGCACATCCAT